TTATCTCAGTAGGGCCCTGACCTTCCTCGTCACTACCCAACCGGGGTTAGGCTTGGCACTTACTGAGTACCGCTGTGGTATACTCATGCCCTTCCTGTGCATGTCTTTCATGTGCAGATTCAGGTACTTCCTCCCAAGCGTATCATCCCCGTGGTGGAGAGTCCTAGCTGAGACTTGAGGAATATCTGCTACGTTTGCAGACCAGGAGTCTCTACTCTATTCCGGCTTTAGCAGATAGTTTCCCTTTCTTTCCTTTTCATGTTATTTAGACNCAGTTAAGCCCACTCTCTAGGCGACCCAATTTAGATTTCGACACATATTCTTCACTCGCAAATGAGATCTTCTAATAGACAACATAAGGATCACACAACCCTAGAACACTTCGCAGGAGATGACCCACCTGCTTTGCCTCCAACTAACATTTCTGTATACCTTCCACCGTCACAAGCATTACACAGTCACTTGATATTCCTAAGTCTGGACTCATACCGCAACATGAAATTTACTTCACTCTCAACTGGGAAACATGAAATGATCCTTCATACGCCCATAACTCGGGGCTATATCTCGAATCAAGATGGAATTCCAGCACCTAATAGTTCTTCTATCATCCAGCAGACCTCCCTCGTCACTTCCAAGTCATGTAGATACATCTCGTAGTACTAACATACTCATCACATAGCTATCCAGCCGACACTTCCACTAATAGGGACAATACCGAACATATAAGTTCAAAACACTTGCTCACAAAATCAGCACCTCGGTGCTCAAGCCATAGGCAAAGATCCGGCCTCAAGTCCTCTAGACTGGCCCAACATCAAACTCACAGAGATCACATCTAGCCCCTCGATCGGGGGAATCACAAGCCATCAAGGCACATCTGATACTGAGCGCTCATGCGTGCATACGAACGCGTGGAAGGAATTTCAAAGAGTTACTTTTCAAGCTGAATCAAGGACACACGATAAGAATTTCCAAGAATGTGAAGTTTTCCTAAAGGTTCTGCAGCCTCTCGAGGATAAATACAGACGTCTCTGTACCGATCCGCGAGACTCTACTAGACCTGCTCATGACTCGTGAGACCTATGAACCTAAGCTCTGATACCAACTTGTCACGACCCAAACCCCGATCCGGTCGTGATGGCGCCTCTCGTGAAGACAAGGCCAGCCAACCAACCTATTTCGCCTTTTCAGAATAGTTAAATATTGATTCACAGATTTAACATAATTAAATAACCACAGTCTAAACAGAGATTTCTTTATTAAGCGCGGAATACAACCCAAACACAGCCCAAACTGGGGTGTCATAAGTCACGAGCATCTATTAGAGTATAAATACGACTACAAGGCCCGTAATATACAAGATAGGAGAGATAAACAAAAGGGAGAAATGTGGTGCTGCGAACACTGGCAGTCACCTTGCTAAACTCTGATAACTTAGCCTCCGATCAGCTCAGAACCCGCTACCGGGGAACAAATACCTGCATCTGCACGCGAGGTGCAGGGAGTAAAGTGAGTACTCCAACTTAGTGAGTAATAAAGGTAAATAATAACTGAGCAATAAGAAATCACGTAAGGCAAACCATCATGCTGTATAGAGCAGTGTAAAACCTTTTGAGAAAAACAATGAAGCTGTGAAATCTTAGAAAACGTCTTAGCTCAGTTTAAGACTCTTTTGGAAATGCCTTTTTTTAACAGTTATGCAAATGAATGCAATACAAATAGTGCAGATAAGTACAAAAATCCGCCCCTCGGGCACAACACTCTCTCAATAGATAATGCCAGACAATCGGGTATATACCACGTGAAGTAACACAGACAACAAATAATGGCAGGCAAATGAAGCAAAGTAAACGCATAGATCAGTATCATATAGTAACCGCTGCGGCGTGCAGCCCGATCCATATATCACTGCGGCGTACAGCCCGATCCATATATTTCATCGACGGCGCTCACTGGGGGTGTGCAGACTCCGGGAGGGGCCCCTTACGGCCCAAGCGCAAATATCAAGCCATCTCGTGGCATCGAATCCAGGCCCTCGGCCTCATATCGGTACCAGTATAACACTGCTGCGGCGCGCAGCCGGATCCCATAGTATCCTCACAACACAGGCCCTCGGCCTCACTCAGTCAGATAAAATCATCACAAGCCCCTCGGGCATTTGTAAATTAGCAGTTCTCAGCCCAAAACATCATTTAGAAATTTCGTTTAAGTCTCAAAGCTGAGTAAAAATGGCTGAGTTGTAAAATAATGGAAAACAGCATGACTGAGTTCAAGTAATAAGTCAAAACAGAGAGGAAACAGTGATAATAATCCCCGAAGGGTTCAAATAGTTGGCACGAAGCCCAACTATGGCAATCAGCCCAAATCATGATGATAACAAGTAAGTTTCAGTCAAATACACGGTAAAATCATCAATCGAGACGGACCAAGTCACAATCCCCAACGGTGCTCTACCCACGCTCGCTATCCGGCGTGCAAGTCACCTCAATATAGCACAACGATGTGCAATCCGGGGTTTCAAACCCTCAGAATATCATTTACAATCATTACTCACCTCGAACCGGCGAAACCTCTAGCTCGCGACGCCTTTGCCCCTCAAATCGGCCTCCACACGCGTCGAATCTATCCAAAATCAGAACGAATCATCACAATATGCTAAGGGAACAAAGCCCAAGCGAAAACAATCAATAACGGGCACAAACCCCGAAATTACCAAAACCCGAGTCCCGGGCCCACTTCTCGAAACTCAGAATTTTTAGCATCAATAGGTTCCTCATCTCCCCACGAGTCTATTCATATCAATAATACCAAAATCGGAGTTCAAATGACCCCTCAAATCCTATATTTCAAATCTACCAAATCACATCGGATTCAAGCCTAAGTTTCCAAAATCTCCCGAAATACGCTTTTGATAAAAAAAAAACCAATCAAATCACGTCTGAATGACCTGAAAATTTACACACACATCCCAAATGACACAACAAAACTACTGCAACTCTCGGAATTCCATTCCGACCCTCGGATCAAAATCTCACCTATCAACCGGAATTTGCCAAAAATACTAACTTCACCAATTCAAGCCTAATTCTACACCGGACCTCCAAAACCAATTCCGATAACACTCCTAAGTCATAAATCACCTAACGAAGCTAACCAAATCATAAAAATTCCGATCCGAGCTCATATACAAATAAGTCAACTCTTGGTCAAACCTTTCAAATTCAAAGCTTTCAACTGAAACTGATTCTTTCAAATTCATTCTGATTTTTTTCCTGAAACCAAAACCAACGATCTTCATCAGTCACAATACATTACACGGGGCAAGTCGTGCCCGAGAACTGGCGATCAAAGTGCAAAAGCTCAAAACGACCGATCGGGTCGTTACACTTCACCCCATCTCTTTTATATTTAATAAATATTCTTAATGTTCAATTAAAGAAAGAGAGAATCTGGAGAGTGCGTAGATAAAAGGAGCAGTCTTGTTTTCTTACCAATAAGATTTTTGATATCATTGTATTGATATTAGTTTTACCACTTTAGTTTAGTCTCCTTTCTTTCTCACATCAGTTGGGTCATGCTGCAAGTTTTTCTGAACACTTTGCTAAAAATGTAATTCATAAATCCAGTTATTGTTAATTAGCTCCACATAAACTTGTGGAAAATGTTTCTTCAAATGGGAAAGGTATTTAGTACTCTCTCCCTAGGCTATGATGAAGACTCGGGTTAAGACCTTTCTGTTTACTCTTTTTTCATTTTTTGAATGGGTGTCGATTCATTATAGTTTGAGATTGTGAAGCTCTGTTTTATTTTGCCTTTTTTTCTTACATCTTTGTGTATAAGAAACATCTAAATTATCTACAGCTATGACATAGTAAGTATGATCAACATAAATCCATAAATACGCTAAGTGAGATTGTGAAAACTCAAAATATTCTTGATTCCCTAGCACTAATGCATGTCCTATTTATATTTGAATGGATCGTGATCAAAATATTCTTTTCATAATATTCATAATATGCTTCTTGATTGTTGCATGATTATTCACTTTCCAAATATATTTCTAGATCAGCGCTCTCATGCATCCTTGATTTTCTCAATTTGAAGGAAATTATGAATATTTTTAGTCATATAATATTATTCCTTATATGGTAATGTTTGAGCTGCAAATATTTAAATTTTTAAGTAATATACAGTTGTATTATGCAGATCTAGTCTCAAGATTTGAAAGTTTAAAAAATTCTGTGTCTATAGTACAAAGATTATAAATCAAGATATGGCTTATATTCACAAAACTCCAAAACACATGACTATTCAAATACTAACTTTACGTTCTCCTTTTCTTTCTCATTCTAAATCCTCTCATCCAAAGTTTAGCCTGGATATCTTACCATGATTAATTATATGGAGAAATCGTACTGCACATTATTAAAGAATGCATGTCCTTTTTCTTTGTTCAGGCAATCCAGATAATATGGAGTCTTATATCACAAAACCTGCCCAAGAGCGTGCAAGTATTGATGATTCGAGCAATGGTACTTTGTTAGATCAATTAGCTAGAATGTTGGGTGTAGAGCTAAGGAAATAAATTAGTGCAACAGCTTATATAATACATATGCAGCTCCCACACTCAACAGGTATTTCGAGTCCGCTATGAGCTAACCTTTTGGAATACATTTGGTTTCATCAAATTGAAGCACATTTCCCATATTAGTTAATAATTACCAAGATTGAAGATATTGATCAAAAAAATAACATCTTCTATCTTCTGTATTCATTAGAAGGTGAAAGACGTTTTTGCAACAAAGAGCTAAGTCTTATAGTATGAATTCAAAATAATAACATAAAGAGTAAAGTTACTTCAAAATAACGACATAACCAAATATTGGTAAGAATCACTTGGTTGATAGCCAAAGCTAACGGCTGAAAAGTAAGTCTAAGTACTCAACTAAGTTATTTCAATTAATGCTTGTGCAGCAACTCATGGATTTTTCTCCTTTTTAATCACTCTCTTCCCTGTTGCTTGATAATTGTCCCACATCATCATCAACTTCTACAGTGGTTGGTCCATCATTGTCTCTAGTTCTCTTGGCAGGGGTCAGTGTAGGAGAGATCATCTCATTATCAGCTTTAGAATCCTACAAAAGCAAAACAATGAAGGTTGACATAACCAAAAGTAGAAAATCATTTACCATTCTCAATATTTCATGAGAAGCTCTTTACATTAATCACCTTGTCTCTCGTATCTCCACTTGTGACTTGTTCATTATTGAAATCTGGATCCTAAATTGATGTCATAGTTAAAAAGTTAACAAACAATAATAAGTTTTAACATTGAATTCACAAGTCAATATATATATATATATATATATATATATTATGAGGAATTTGAGTGAAGATCACATACAGTGAAGGCATATGCTTCTGCTTCTGAAGACGAACTATATTTTTGTATAAGGTCCTCATCGTCGCTGACCTTAACGACGGTATAAACTTCATCATTCTCCTCAATGTTGGAAGGTTTCACCGTCAGTTTAAACATGAATTTTCTATCCAGAATAGCATCAATCTCCAATGGATGAGAACACTCATAAGCAACACCAGATGTCTAAACCAATGTTAGTATTAGAAGTGCTAAAAACCATGAAACAATCGAAATAAAATAACATACCTCTACTACATCTTCTTTCAAGGTATCAGCAGACTTTTCAATGAGTTTTGTCGCCTCACGATCCCAAAGCAACAAAGAAATAGAGCCAGTGACATCAATTACTCGAACCTGAAGCCTGTATCTGATAGCTTCTTTAAGTTAAATTTTTTTAACTTAAACTTATGTTCTAATATTTTTTAATTTAGCATAAATTATGGTCAAATCTTTTCAGAGCAGAATGATCAACACGTTCACATTTCTTGCAGTAAAACTTATTTCCAATTTTATCAACTTTCTTCGAACATTTTTTGCACCCTACATATGACCATCCCCTTTCAAGTTCTAAATTCACTACAGTAGCAACAATCCAGATTTGCCCTTCCTATAGAAAGAAAGCCATTACTAATATTACGTATATACTTCCAATAAAAAATCTGCACCTAACCAAAACTAAATTTAATGTCATTCATTATATTTAGTAAGCAAAGAAAATTGTTTACAGAGCTATATTTGTTAGTCATAGTTTATCTAAAGAACATTTTACTTACCTGCAAAAAATCAATTAATTCTCCAATGCTTTTTACTTCCACGTTCCCAGCAGCTAGTTCTTCAGAAATAGAATAACTACGTTGAGAAGTTGTTTGACTAAACCTCTCAAGGTTAACTTCACGCCCACTTCCTAATCTACATTAATCCAAATTTGTATTAGTTCTAAATATGCTAAAAAATTATGTAGTACATATATAAATTTTATATTATATATAAAAAACCTGGATATAAATTCAGCAACTTGTGGAAGATCAGGATTAATCCAAAGCTTTGAGGAATGCCAAGTATTACGCACAGAATATTTGTCTATATATAAAACTAATTTTAATTTAATAACACACACACACACAAATAGAATTCAAATCTAATATTACGAGTACATTGAAATTTGTGAGCTTTTATTAGCTGCATAGCCACTATGACACGTTAATTGGGTGATCCATCTAAGTGGGGCAAGATTTCATCTACAAATTCTCCCCAAAATGTTGCTGAAATATTGTTCCTTCTATATGTAAAATGCACAAATTAATAATGAGAAAATAATAGTGATTGATTCTATAACTAATTCAATTCATGGTTGCAAACGTACTCATGATCCTCGAGCTCCAAGTTCATAAAGGTACTTGTTTTACCACCTTGGTTATACGATTCTACGTTACCATGACCAATAACTTCTCCTATGACATCTGCCACATTTAAATAGTAATTATGAATAAGGTGATAAAACATTCAACAAAAAATAGCGAAAGGTAAAACAATTACCGAATAGTTCATTCTCATCAACCTCGACTTGATTTGTGAGATGCTGAAAAGGCTTAAAGTTGAAAATATTCAAACTAAATTGTGGATCACTAATTTCATCCACACTCGTCCTATGAGAAAATGTCAGTTTCAATTTATGTTTGTTGGACTTAATTTTCATATTGTTTGGTCCAACCACAAAGTTTTTCATAACATACAATCCCATTTCATGTATTTTTGTTTTGAAAATACGCATAACAGCTCTTCCAATAGTTGCATGAATTCGATCGCCCTAAAACAAAAAATGTGAAAAGAAGTTAGTAAGGCGCATAAGTTGAAAAAAATACATCACAACTCGAAAAAAATAATAACATGTAAAAGAGCATGCACCTTTTCATCTTGAATAATTAATTCGATGATTAGAATTTTCTGGTTTCTCGCGGTCTGGAATGTGCCACAATCTAACAACACGAACTTTCAAATTCCAACTCATTTTGGACATTGCTATTTCGCTGATATAGTTATAGTTTGGAGCCATACTTTGGCGAAGTTTGTGTGAGAGCTAAACCCTAAGCAATGTAGAGAAGCCAAACCTAAGTAAAAGTTGCTTAAATAAAGATTTGTAAGAAAAGAATTATAGTAGTAAATCAATTTATAAGGATCTTTGGCAGAAATTTGAACGTATGATCTTTCTTGGAAGATACAAAATATGGATGTAAGATACAAAATATTTATATTTAATTAATTCTTTCTTAAAAAGAATACCTACCATAGCTAAATGTGTCACGACCCCAACCCCGGTCGTGATGGCGCCCAACACACTGCTAGGCAAGCCCGACCAGTTAACAACCTTAACCCAATTCATTATACAGTTCATTATTAGCTAACACAATTAAATTACCAAACCAACATAATAGAAGTCTGAAATAAGAGCTAAATGTGCGGAATTTCAAATGACAATACTACTACATAGCCCAAAAGATCCGGTGTCACAAGTCTGAGCCTCTAATACAGGTTTATCAACCTAATACATGTCAATCTAAGGGAATACGAAATAAAAATAAGGATAGAAGGGAGAGATCAGGGCTGCGGACGCCATGCAGCTACCTCGAAGCTCCCAGATATGCGCTGCTCAACAGAAAATCCTCACTCAGCCTCAGGTGCACCTGGATCTGCACGCAAGGTGCAGGGAGTAATGTGAGTACTCCGACCCAGTGAGTAATAAACATAAATAAAGGCTGAGAATAAGAAATCCTGGATAAACACATTGTAATCTAAGATACGGCAGTTTAAACCAAGTAGTATGAAATCAATAAACCAGTGAAGTAGAAACATGGAAATACTTACAACAGATAAGCAAATAAATGATAGCCAAATAAAGGAATGCAACACATAGTACGGTACTCTCTAGTACCCGCTGCGGCGTGCAGCCCGATCCATTTATTTATCATCGACGGCGCTCACTGGGGGTGTGCAGACTCCGGGAGGGGCCCCTTACGGCCCAAGCGCAATATCAAGCCATCTCGTGGCATCAGCTAGGCCCTCGGCCCGGTATCAAAATCAATATAATACTGCAGCGGCGCGCAGCCTGATCCATACTCCCTCCAGAAATCACATAAGCCCCTCGGGCCATAATAAAATAGTAGTCCTCAGCCCAAAACATCATTAGAAATTTCATTTAAGTTTCAAATCTGAGTAAAAGTGGCTGCATTGTAAAACAGCATTAAACAATAGGACCGAGTTCAAGTAATATGTTCAAATAGTAAAAAAAACCAGTGATAGCAATCCCCGAAGGGTTCAAATGGTTGGCACGAAGCCCAAATATGACAATTAGTCCAATTAATGATGATATCAAGTAAGCTTCAATCAATTACGCGGTAAGAACATCACTTGGGACGGACCAAGTCCCAATCCCCAATAGTAAACGACCCCGCGCTCATCATCAAGTGCGTGTCTCACCTCAATATAGCACTACGATGTGCAAATCCGGGGTTTCAAACCCTCAGGACATCATTTACGTTCATTACTCACCTCAAACCGGCCAAAACTCTAGCTCGCTTTGCCCTTGCCTCTCAAATCAGGCCTCCTCGCGCGTCGAATCTGACCAAAACCAGAGCGAATACGTCACAATATGTTAAAGGAACAAAACCCAATCGAAAACAATCGAAAAAATATCAAAAATCTCGAAATTAGCAAAACCCGAGCCCCGGGCCCACTTCTCGAATCTCAAAAAATTTTACACCAACGGGTTATCTATCAGTCCACCAGCTGTATATGCGGCTCCGCAGGTGCGGGCACCCCACCGCATCTGCGGTCTCAACCTTTCTCTCCCAAAACCGCTTCTGCGGTCAAATGGTCGCATCTGCGACTCCGCAGGTGCGGTCCCCATACCGCATCTGCGGTTCCTGACTCTCCTTAAAAACTGCATCTGCACCTTTACTTCCGCATCTGCGACACCGCATTTGCGGTCCACAAGCCGCAGGTGCGAAAACACCAGAAGCACCAAAGAAATCTGCAATCACTCAAGTTCCACAACTTCCTTCCCGTTAGCCATCCGAAATCACCCCGAGGCCCCCGGGACCTCAAACAAAAGCACCAACACCTCCTAAAACCTCATTCAAACTTGTTCCAATCATCGAAGCGCCTCAAATAACACCAAAACCATCAAATTACATCGAATTCAAGCCTAAGTTCTTCTAAAACTTCCGAAACACGCATTTGATCAAAAACCCAATCAAATCACCTCCGAATGACCTGAAATTTTGCACACATATCCCAAATCACATCACAAAGCTACAGCAACTCACGGAATTCCATTCCGACCCTCGGATCAAAATCTCACCTATCAACCGGAAATCGCCAAAATACTAACTTCGCCAGTTCAAGCCTAATTCCACACCGGACCTCCAAAACTACTTCCGATCACACTCCTAAGTCACAAATCACCTCCCGAAGCTAACCGAACCATCGGAATTTGCATCCGAGCCCTCTAACACATATGTCAATATTCGGTTGACTTTTCCAAACCAAGCCTTCCTTTAAGAGACTAAGTGTCTCATTTCCTACCAAAACCACTCCAAACCAACTCGAACACATAAGACACGGATAATGAAGCATAAAGAAGCAGAAAATGGGGGAAACGGAGCGGTAACTCATGAGACGACGGGTCGGGTCGTCACATCCTCCCCAACTTAAAACAACGCTCGTCCTCGAGCGAGTCAAGAAACATACCTGAAGCCTCAAATAGGTGAGGATATCTGTTGCGCATCTCCCGCTCGGTCTCCCAGGTAGCCTCCTCCACGGGCCGACCTCTCCGCTGCACCTTCACTGAAGCTATATCCTTCGACCTCAACTTTCGAACCTGACGACCCAAAATAGCCACTGGCTCCACATCAAAGGTCAAATCACCATCCAACTGAACTGTGCTGAAGTCCAAATCATGAGACGGGTCCCCAACATACTTCCGGAGCATAGAAACATGAAACACCGGGTGCACACTCGACAAGCTGGGTGGCAAAGCAAGCATATAAGCCACCTCCCCAATCCTCCTAAGTACCTCAAAAGGCCCAATGAACCGCGGACTCAACTTCCCTTTCTTTCCAAATCTCATAACACCCTTCATGGGCGAAACCTTTAGCAAGACCTTTTCACCAACCATGTAGGACACATCTCGAACCTTCCGGTCCGCATAACTCTTCTGACGCGACTGCGCTGTACGAAGTCTCTCCTGAATCACCTTCACCTTCTCTAAGGCATCCTGAACCAAATCTGTCCCCAATAGCCTAGCCTCACCGGGCTCGAACCAACCAACTGGAGATCTATATCGTCTCCCATACAAGGCCTCATACGGTGCCATATGAATGCTAGACTGATAGCTGTTGTTGTAGGCAAACTCTGCAAGTGGCAAAAACTCATCCCATGAACCTCCAAAATCAATGACACAAGCATGCAACATGTCCTCCAATATCTGAATGGTACGCTCGGACTGTCCGTCCGTCTGAGGGTGAAACGTTGTGCTCAACTCCACCTGAGTACCCAACTCTCTCTGCACAGCTCTCCAGAACTGCGAAGTAAACTGAGTACCTCTATCTGAGATGATAGAAACCGAAACACCATGCAACCGAACAATCTCCCGGATATAAATCCCTGCCAGCCGCTATGAGGAATAGGTAGTACACACAGGAATGAAGTGCGCGGACTTGGTCAGCCGATTAACAATCACCCAAATAGCATCAAATTTCTTCAATGTCCAAGGAAGTCCAACAACAAAGTCCATAGTAATCCTCTCCCACTTCCACTCAGGAATATCCATCTGCTGAAGCAAGCCACCAGGTCTCTGATGCTCATATTTCACCTGTTGACAATTGAGACACCGAGCCACAAATCCCACAATATCTTTCTTCATTCTTCTCCACCAGTAGTGCTGCCTCAAATCTTGATACATCTTCGCGGTACCCGGATGAATAGAATACCGCGAGCTATGGGCCACCTCCAGAATCAACTCTCTAAGCCCATCCACATTGGGCACACAGATCCGGCCCTGCATCCTCAACACACCATCATCACCAATGGTCACATCTCTGGCATCGCCATGCTGAACTCTGTCCTTAAGGACAAGCAAACGCGGATCATCATACTGGCGCTCTCTGATGCGATCATATAAGGAAGACCGAGAAACCACACAAGCTAACACCCGGCTGGGCTCCGAAATATCTAATCTCACAAGCCGATTGGCCAAGGCCTGAACATCAACTGCAAATGGCCTCTCCCTAACTGGGATGTACGCCAAGCTCCCCATACTCACTGCCTTTCGGCTCAAAGCATCGGCCACTCATTGGCTTTCCCGGATCGA